AATTTCGTAAGACAATAATTTTCAAGACAGATAAGAAAAAGGGATATGCAAAATAAAATAATGGATAAGAAATTAACTTAACCAGAATTTCCTGCTCAATTTGTGTCTTGACGAGTTGACCATGAAAACAAATAGAGAAAGAAGAACATTACATAAGTAAGATGGAAGGAAGGAAGAATACATTCTTAATTCCCCATGTTTAATGTCGGAGAAACTTCCAAAAAAAATCCAAAAACCTTCCGAATTAACAGCTGTTGATCTCACCAATTTCTCCATTTTTTGTATATAATCCACTGTTCTATTCATTCTTCCTCATCCCTTCATTTCCAGGGAGCAAAAATGGTGGAATTCTTCTGAACAGAGCAGACTCAGAGCAATGGGAAAGAACACAACCCAATTGTTGTTGTTCTTCTTCTTCTTCCTTTGCTATGGCATTGTTTCTGTTTCTTCTAATGGGGTTTTGAGTGATGAAGTTTCGGCTTTGTTGTCATTAAAATCGAGTTTGAATGATTCGTTGAATAGTCTCAATGATTGGAAGTTTCCGGCGACTGCAGCGGAGCATTCAGTTCACTGCAACTGGACTGGAGTGTCCTGTAACTCCGCCGGTGCTGTTGAAAAGCTTGATCTTTCACGTATGAATCTCAGCGGTCGCATTTCCGGTGATATCCAGAATCTGAAAAGCCTTAGTTTTCTCAATCTCTGCTGCAATCAGTTCTCTACGTTTCTTCCCATATCAATAGCCAATCTCACTTCGCTACAATTCATCGATGTGAGTCAGAATTTTTTCACCGGTATCTTGCCGATTGGTTTTGGGAGAGCTTCCAACTTAACTCTGCTGAATGCTTCCAGCAATAGCTTCACTGGGTTTATCCCAGAGGATCTCGGCAATGCAACGTCGTTGCATACTCTGGACCTCAGGGGAAGTTTACTCCACGGTTCGATTCCGAAGTCGCTCGGAAACTTGCAGAAGCTGAAGTTCCTGGGTCTTTCCGGAAATAATCTGACCGGTGAAATTCCGGGGGAGCTCGGGCAGCTTTCGTCGCTAGAGACCATGATTATTGGGTACAATGAGTTTGAAAGTGAAATTCCGAGGGAGTTCGGTAATCTTAGCAGCTTGAAGTACCTTGATATGACGACCGGAAATCTGAGTGGCGAGATTCCGGGGGAACTGGGGAAGCTCAAGGTGTTGGAAACGGCTTTTCTGTATGGGAACAATTTTGAAGGAAAGATTCCACCGTCAATCGGCAACCTTACGTCGTTGCAGGTGTTGGATCTCTCCGACAACGTGTTGACCAGTGAGATACCGGCAGAGATTTCCGAGCTGAAGAACTTGCAGATATTAAATTTAATGTGCAACAATTTATCCGGCTCTGTTCCAGTCGGACTGGCAGGATTGACCCAGTTGAAGGAGCTTAAGCTATGGAATAATTCTTTGTCAGGCACTCTGCCCAGCGATCTGGGCAAGAATTCGCCATTGCAGCGGTTGGACGTATCGTCCAATTCATTTTCCGGTGTGATTCCGGCGACATTGTGCAACGGGGGCAATCTTACCAAGCTCATTCTGTTCAACAATGCCTTCTCGGGTCCAATTCCGGTCAGCTTATCGACTTGCCTCTCACTTGTCCGTGTACGGATGCAGGACAATCTTCTCACGGGACCAATTCCGGTGGGGTTGGGTCGACTCGAAAAGCTGGAAAGGTTAGAATTGGCCAATAACAGTCTTACTGGAGAAATCCCAGATGATATTGCTTCTTCTTCATCACTTTCTTTCATTGATCTTTCTCAGAATCATCTCCGATCTTCTCTTCCGTCCACGATCCTTTCAATTCCTAATCTTCAAACATTCATTGCTTCAAATAACTATTTAGTTGGAGAAATACCAGATCAATTTCAAGATTGCCCTGCTCTTTCTCAGCTTGATCTGTCCTCAAATCATTTAAACGGGGTAATTCCGGCGAGCATTGCTTCCTGTGAGAAATTGGTCACTCTGAACCTGAAGAACAACCGATTAACCGGAGAAATTCCTAAATCAATCGCAATGATGTCCTCATTGGCCGTTCTTGATTTATCCAATAACTCCCTTACGGGTGGAATACCGGAGAATATCGGATCTTCCCCGGCATTGGAGGTGCTCAATGTCTCGTATAACAAGTTGCAGGGTCTTGTTCCGGCAAATGGGGTTCTTAGAACGATAAACCCAGATGATCTGGTCGGCAACACCGGCCTCTGCGGAGGCGTCCTCCCCCCGTGCGGCAGATATTCGTTGAATTCATCAAAACAGAGGATCATGCGTGAGAAGCACATCATCGGCCTATGGTTCATCGGAATCTCATCGGTTCTAGCTGCCGGAATCCTAATTATGGGCGGTTGGATACTTTTCAAGAACTGGTATTCAAACCGCAGTTGCTTCGAAGAACGGTTCGAAACCGGAAACGGCGAGTGGCCGTGGAGACTGATGGCGTTCCAGAGACTCGGTTTTACGGCAGCTGACATCCTCGCCTGCATCAAAGAATCAAACATGATCGGAATGGGAGCAACCGGCGTCGTATACAAAGCCGAAATGCAGCAGAAAAGCACCGTTGTGGCCGTTAAAAAGCTCTGGAGATCGGGGACTGATTTGGAAACCGGAAACAGCGGGGATTTCATCGGAGAGGTGAATCTCCTAGGAAAGCTACGGCATCGGAACATCGTCCGATTACTGGGGTTTCTCCATAACAATTCCAGCATGATGATAGTATACGAGTTCATGCAAAATGGCAGCCTCGGAGAAGCCTTGCATGGCAAACAGGCGGGAAGATTGCTGGTGGATTGGGTTTCCAGGTACAACATTGCGGTGGGAGTTGCTCATGGACTTGCTTATCTCCACCATGATTGCCACCCTCCGGTCATCCACCGTGACATCAAGTCCAACAACATTCTGCTTGATGCAAACCTTGAGGCAAGGATTGCGGATTTCGGGTTGGCAAGGATGATGGTGAGGAAGAATGAAACAGTTTCTATGGTGGCAGGTTCCTATGGTTACATTGCTCCTGGTAAGTTCTTCTCCGATTCGATTTCAGGTGCTTTAATTTATATAAATATCAAGGGACTTCATTGATAACTGATTATAAGTTTTGATGAATCTATGGCAGAGTATGGTTACACCTTGAAGGTGGATGAGAAGATAGATATTTACAGCTTCGGAGTGGTTCTGCTGGAGCTTCTCACCGGGAAGAAGCCATTGGATCCAGAGTTTGGAGAATCAGTAGATATAGTTGAATGGATTCGGAGGAAGATTAGAGACAACGTAGGTTTGGAAGGGGCGTTAGATCCTAATGTAGGAAACTGTAAACATGTTCAGGAAGAGATGCTTTTAGTCCTTAGGATAGCACTGCTCTGCACGGCCAAGCTCCCGAGGGACAGACCTTCAATGAGGGATGTCATCACAATGCTTGGAGAGGCAAAGCCTAGGAGAAAAAGCAGCAGCAGCAGCGACGTCGCCAGTGACAGCCATGCAGCTAACAGGGAGAAGCCAGTGTTTAACACTTCACCTGTAAATGGCCTTGTATAGGAACAGAACAGAGTTCCCTTTCTAGGCCCTTCAATTCTGTTCAATTCTAATTCTTATTTTGTATGTAGTTTTTGTAATCAATGTTTCATTCATATTTATGTCCAGAAATTTTTGAAACCAGATCATGAATGTCCATTTCCTTTGCAAATAATTAAGTTGTAATTTGTATCCGGAATTTGACATATTCTCTGTTTATTACTCATTCTACAGCATAAATTAAGATAAACTGATTACATTTCTGAATTCCTTGAACTGAGTTTCCTATGTTGTATGAGAGCGAGTGGTTTAAGCCTCTGAAGAAAGGACGAGGAGCATAGATTCAAACTTTTGTCATATGAGGGTGTAATGGATTCAAACTTTTGTCATATGAGGGTGTAATGGATTCAAACTTTTGTCATATGAGAGTGTTGAAGCCTTTCATACCAGTGAAATCATTGGCAACCTTTCATTGATTTGTTGAGAAGAAAGTGACAAGCATAGGAAGGGAAATGGAGATTAGAAGCAGACCTGTCTCTTGAGGTCTAGATGCTATTGATGCAGATCATCACCTGTCAATCCTGAGATTAAAACTTTTCTGCCGCTATCTTCCCTTTTTTTTTTCTTTTTTTTTTTTTGGCACATTTTACTGCTGCTATCTAACAGTTTCTCAAGGATGTCTTAAGTGGATCTACTGACAAGCCCAACATCAATTGATTTCTTCACAAATTTTTAACAATTCAGAAAAATACAAATCTAGATCGTTAGGAAAAGACCAGAAAAGAAAGATAAAATTGTTTGCAAAATAGCTCTATTATTTACAGCAAAAAGAAACAGCATTCACTCGAGTATCTGTGTATAATACTACATTGAAAACTACGGTGCTGTGACTTTCAAAAAGTGTGGTTCCATACCAGGAGACCAGTAAGGAGAATGAACAAAGTGGATAACAAAATTATACAGCAACCAGGAACAAACAGAGAAACCAAAATGCTTTAACTATTCAGTATTTCTTTCTGCTGGGTGTATTGCTAGCGCAAAACAGGTATTCATCTTACTTGAGCTCGACGGAAGGAAGTCTAGATGGGCTTGCTTCTTGATCTCTCATTCCCTCTCTCTATCCTTGGAGCTGTAGAATATCAATTATAGTCATGATGGGATTGGAAACACAGATTCAGAAAATGAATTAGAAGAGTTTTAATGCATATGTATACCAAGACCAGTAGCCTCAGATTTCCTCATGATTCTAAGCCTTTTCACTGAGCTAAGGAACATCCTGAAATCCAGATTAAAAAGACAATATGATTGTCAAACTGGATGAAATGACACATATGACATAACCAATTTCAAAAGCAGAGAATCAAATCACTAAAGCATATTTATGAAGACAAATCCCAATTGGTACTCTCATCTTTTCTAGCTAACATTCTTCTTCCCCACTCAACTGGTTAAGCTATGATATGCCTTTTCACTTTACAAAGTTTTATCATCAAGAAGCTCTAACCCAACCCCTCTTCCTACATACATGAAAAGATATCATAGGGTGCCTAATGTAGCAGTGCCCTGGAAGCCAGACCAGATGATCTGGTCCCTTGAAATCAAAAACATATTTATGCCCCATGGGAGTAACCAGTAGTACATCAATGGTTTTCTAAAAGCATTACTTTGGAATATCATGTAGCATGCATCAAAACATCAAACAACAAGTTCCTCCATAACAATCCAGATAAGATATCAGAAATAACCCTAAAGGCTATACCAATTTCATGTTCTGTTTGTCACAAGATTCCATGTTTGATGCATGTCTTTCTTGGTATAATACAAGAAAAAGGAACAATTATGATGTAACATCCAAATAAGATGATCATGATCACCAAAGCCATTCTGATGGTGGAGTAAGATCCTTGTTTTTCAAGTGTGGCAACAGAAAAACATATGAAAGTTTTGTCTGCATAATATATGAGTGTGTATAATTATAAAATAAATTCAATTCAATGATTCACATGGTAAAGAATAAATTTTACATACCCCCATGGAACATCTCCAACAAGCATCCAGTCTCCTTCCTTATCCTCGTAAGTAAGCACAAACTCAGCTGATCCATCAAGCAGTTTTGAAGGCCTTGTTGCTTCAGTCATTATGCCGTTTTCATGCACAATTGTCCCTAAAAACAAAAACGATGCCAACATTGAAAACAAAATCAGGAGAGAAAAAGCTTACACATATCCTTTCACTCTCAACTCCTCTCTGGGATTTCCCTGCCTTAAAACTTTAGAGAAGAAAAGAATCCTAACTGTCTTCATTTACCAAAAAAGAGGAAAAAGAAAAGAGTTTCAGACTTCTCCTATCTAAGATTTCCTATATATGTACACAATTACAAATAAGATCAAAAGTCTAGGAAACCTATCAAATTTGATCAAGATGAGAGTTGGTGTCCAACATTGGAGTTTAGCCAATTTATATTTAACGAATGCACTACCAGGTCAACTCAAGACAGTGAAAACAGAGGTCATGAGGTCTTAAACCCTAGGTTCAGACCCTACATGGGCAACTTAATTCATCCTTCAACAAATGAATGTAAACAAATGATAATAACTCACTTCTTGGATCCATGCTTGAGGTGGGTCTGAGAAACATTGCTTCCAATGTTTTTGCTAAGGTCTCATAGGATCCTAGGGAGTTCAGATCAACCTTCCTTCCAATTAGAGTTCCATCCATATTCACCTTCACAAACAGGGAACTTCGCTTAGCATTTCCACTATCCTTGTAGCAGCCAATGTTATTCTTCTCTGCCACAGCATTCTTGCTTTCATTCTTATCAAAAGTTGGATTAAATCTTTCAGTGGCTATTGTTTTTGCTTGGTTAGCCATGCTATTCATTCTGTAAGCTCTTATAGGAGGCCACCCCACAACTTGACTGTTTCAAGATAGAAGGCAAAACAATAACAGAGAAAAAGAATCTTATCAATGAAGAAGAGGCTCAGAGCTCCAACAAGTAGCACTTACGAGCATCAAAAAGAGAAACAGAACTACACACTCAAACATTTTTATATCATGTACTGGACCAGTGGCACAAATGATAAAAGAGAAGCATGTAGTTGGAGTGGGTTCAACTTTAAAATCTTTCCAAAAATGATTTAACTGTTCAACCATTAAAAGAAAAAATGCCACCGTTTGAAGCATTGACTTGCAAAGATACACAGCATTTTTATAATGAATTTGGTTCAAACAATGCATGCAAGGACTCTAGCCAGGATCATGGATGCAGCTATATACCACTAGTACATGAAAACAAATTGCTTGCATACAAGTAACATAACAACATTCCAGGCACAAGTTTTCGGCAATAAATGGCTTTATACTGGTATAAGGCATAAGCTGTGAGCTCCAGGACTGACAATACATACACATAATACAGCTCTCTCACCATCTGCTTTACCAAGCACTTGCAAACATGTGCAAGCATACATAGAGGCACACACAGAAAAATCTTCTTTTACATGATCATTATCACAGTCTAATGACAATCAAATGTAAGTTGAATATACAGTTTCACATAATCCTGTCCTTTCAATATGATTGCTGCTTCAAGCATTCAGAAGTATTGTTGATTTTTTAAGTGTAGAACCAGACAGTATAAGAATACTAACCAATAAGAGAGAGAGAGAGAGAGAGAGAGAGAGAGAGAGAGAGAGAGAGAAGAAAAGATCTGATAAAGATCTGATAATAATAAGTCTCTTAAAAACAAATGAAAACGTAGAAAGTTCTTTTGATCCATAAACTACCATAGAAATCTCAAATCCAGGCCCTGTCATGCAACACACATCCGTTCTACCATTAGATCTAGAAGACGTGCGAAAAGGAATGAAGAAATATATTAAGTGTCCAACTTTTTGTTAATTTTATGTGCAAATATAGTATTTAGGAGAAACCCCAATGAGGTGACACAACGTTTAGGGGCTTGAGACTCCAAGTTGAAGATATCAAATTCAAGCCTTGAGTCGAGGGATTTGGGAATAGGAGAGAGTTATCCCTCTTGTATAGCCTATATAGCCTATAAACAGATGTACCCAAATATATATATATATATTTAGGAGAAAATTTTCACTCTACAGTTTTTTCCTGGACTCCCTTGTGATTTCCAACTATGACAGCCCCAAGTTCTGGATATTTGAAAATATGTTTCATCCTTTTTTCTTTAAGATACATCCATATAAAAGTATAAACCAAAGGGAAAATTATCAAAGGAAGAAAATAAATGGAAATTCTAAGTGAAATACCGGGAACAAGATCACGACAACAACCACAGAAGAGATCCAAATATATTAAAACAAACCAAACAATTGAGCAAAAACGAGATAAAGGACCTAAGCTGAAGCAGTATTCCCAAATCAAACCTTACCTGGAAGAATTAGCGACAGAATCAGCATTTCTCTTGACCCCAGCAGTGACATTAGCCCTACTCAATGAAGAAGATGCGGAGGACGATGATGATGGAGAAGAAGATGATGAAGAGGAAGGGAAATCCTTAGCAGTTAAAATCCTGGCATATTGACCACCCCTCGAAGCTTGTTTCACCCTGAAACCCCCACCACCACCACCACCACCACCACCACAAAGGCTCAGACCAAGACCCAACTCCAGCTCAGTTTCATCCGGACACGAAGAATCCTCAGAAGACAAAACCAGGTTGTCCTCCCTTGACACCGTTGACATTGACCCACTTGCAGAGCCTTCACCCCCACCACTAATACCAACACCCTGCATTAAGATGAATCCCCTTGCTCAAAAAAGCCTCAAACTTTATACCCAGAATCGATTCCCAACAATAAAAACAACAAGATTAGGATAGAAAGCAACAGGAAAAAGACGGGTTCAGGGGAGTATTAAATTGAAGCCAAGTTGGTGACTTTCTAGCCAGAAAATTGATGCAAGAAAAGAACAGGTGACATGTATTGGGGGTTAACGTTTGGTGGTGTTGGGAGAGAAAAAGGTTTGGTTAAGGTGTTGGTATTGTGGCGGTGGTGCAGCTGGTGTTCGTAGTAATGAGATGGGACCCTACCTGTCTGGTGTTATGTGCCCCGTCAATTTCTCTCCTTTTCACCTTCATTTTCCGGCAAAAACCATGCCACTCAACTAACTTCATTTTTGCACCAAAGTTCAAAACATTTTTAGACGTAGCACCTCAATTTTCCATTTTTCCGGCCATCAAATTAGCCTTTGTTTACTTGTAATCCAAGTGACAGACTAAAAATGATAAATTACAATTAATTTCTTAAATTGGCAAAATTATACTAAAAACAGTTAATAATAGTTTTAACACTTAGATTTGTTTGGTTTGATGAATTTTATTAATTGATAATTTTTTTAAAATAATTAATTAGGATCCTTAAAAATATCAATCATTAATATGTTGTATTAGTTATTAAACAATAATTATAATTATTAATCATTTTTTATAATTAAATTAAATAAAGTTTTAAATAATTTAGTACCAATACTAATATAATTTTTTTAATAAAATAATAAGGCTTTCAATTTAAATTATACCATTAATAAGTATAAGTGTGGTGGACAAAAGAGATTAAAGAAATTTATTAATAAATATCTTTAAATATTAATACTTTTAAATTTTATTTAAGAAAAAAAAAATTACACCTTACATAGGAGCCATAATCCTATCCGCTACTTCCTGGCCAAAAAAACCCTGTTGCAAGTTGCAACTTCGCTTTCTTCTAGACCACCCCCCAATCTTCTTTATTTGGAACAGTTGTTATCTTCAATTTCTCAGCAACCAAACAAAAAGTTACTCTTCCCGGAAATTGATGAAAGCAGACGAAAAGAAACACCCATCTGCACGTTAAACTCCTAAATTATTAACCCTTTTA